GACGGGGACCCCGGAATTCTCCAACACTGTGTGAATTCCCCGATATGGTAGACAAGAGTGTTACCTCAATTTCTCCAGAGCTGACGAGGAATCCCGTTTAAGTATAATTTCAAAGCGATTAATTTTCTTTATTCTCCCCCATTTTCCTCTCACTCTGTCAACGATTGCATCACGTCACATCACCTGTTTTTGGCATCATCAACCAAAATCATCTCCACTTATACCAATATTTATTTCATTGTCTATTCATTTGGCAGTGCTTTCTTCACTGCCTTCAATTCCCAGTTGTTCCATCTCAAACTAATTGTTATGTTGATTGAATTTGCTGCAAATTCATCAAAATATCTTTTTCAAAAAAATTTGTTTTTTGAAATAGCCACCAGTAATTAATTTACTCATTGGACTCGCTTACTTTATCTACTGAAAAACTTTTCCCAAAACTTGCTAACCGCAACACTCTTATCAAACACACATCGAATTTCTTTCGAGTTCTCAGGAAAAAACACCAATTACTTGGTAGTTTTATGGTCTCATTGGTTAGCGACAGTAGCAGCTTAAAGTAGCTATATTTCTTGATTGTCAAAACTCACTCGGAGTACAATCAACAAATTTCACTGAAATTACGAAGATAATTTATGTGTGTTTGTTTATGAACGGCGGTACTATTAGGTGATATATTACACTGGATGTGATATAGCAGGCAGATCGATGTTTTTCTACCCCTCAATGGAATCACTAGCTTTTTGTTTGCTGTGAACGAGTGAAGAAAGGAGAATGATGAAACAATTACGTATAATATCACCTATGCTGTAACTAGCAATGACTTCGATAATATAAATTAGTGCTAGCAATGCAATATAATAGTATTGTTCGAATAGCGCAGTAATCATATGAGGAGACGTTGTGGTAGCTATAAGGGGTAATGCGATTGCGGTTAACCACAAACACTTAGCATGTCATTTGTTTGTGTTGGTGTTGGTATGTTCTTATCAAAGAACAAATGCAGAAATGATAGATGGAGGTCGGTGAGCAGAGATAGTGAAGTTTTTGTGTTAACTTCATTTGGTGGCTTGAAATATTGTTGATTCTTATTTGAGAAACTTCAAACAAATAATATTCAGTGCAAAATTGAATTGTCGTTTTGTGAGCATCCTTCACATACAAATACAATTTGTAATCATATCCCTCCTTGTACGCACTTCATTCATCCACAGCACACTGCCGGCCGTCTCATTTACAAACTTTCTATGGCACGAAATAAGTAATCACCTAAATCTTGTTTGGTACATAAGTGAAGTCGCTCGAGGCTTCAAGTTTTATGGTGATATTCATTGAGCGTTGAGAAGATATTCTCGCAATTAAAGTGCAATATTCAATGAAAGATTCAATAGAATGTTCTCGAATTTTTTTTCACTAACTCGTTTCACTTATCTCCTAACGCTTGTACTATCGTATTCTGTTCTTGTTATTGTTTTAAAAAAGTATTCAATTTCATGCTGAATTAATTTCATTTGGTGTAATTGCTTGAATATGATTACTGAAGAAAAAAGGCATGCATTTCGGAGTAGGAATGATTATATGGTTCCTTAGGATTATATGAAGAAATTCTGCAGATCGGTATGATCAGCATTGTTGTGTGCTCGTAAAATTTGATCAGATAGCTTGATATTTTATGATTGTTCCATTGACAATGAAATATAAAAGTAAAACAGTTTCATTTTAGACTTCAATATGGTGCAGAATTTGGGTGCTGTGATCAAGTGGATGTAGAAGTATTGTTATTAGCATATTGTCGAAGTCATTCAAGTGCCTCTTGGGCGATACTCGGAAGTCAGAAGGCACTTTCGCTGAGTTGTGCTCAATTACGTGAAATGAATATGCAAATGGTTGCTTCAATAAGATTGCTTGCACCAGATGCCATCGCTGTGCGTTCATCACGGGTTTCCAGTGCTTCTGAATCGTTGAGGCCCTGATTAGATTCACGGAAATTGAAAACGATATGGATACGGGATCAATATCAATGTATGTGTTGTTTGTGTGTTTGTGCAATATGACTCTGTTGCTTTTTAGGGCATTCGACTGCAATTCGGATGTAAGTTTTCTATAGGAAATAAATATCAGTTCGAATTATTGCGTCGGATTTTTTTTTNTTTTTTTTTGGAACGACTCGGACTCATTCAAAAAATCCTTTCAAAGTATTCCATCGAAATAAGCTCAAATATTTTTTGACTGCAAATGATAGTAAAGTGAGGATATTGAGAGATTTGTTTGAAGGTGTCAATTATCGATAAACTCGCATACAAATTGATCTGATTATTTAATGAAGAGTTAATTCAAGTTTACTTTGCTTTTCGTATGCTCATTGTATATACTGCGTTCTTCTTGAATTGATACTCATTCAGAGATTTGATCTAAACTATCCCTTCTGATCGTCTAAGAGCCGCATCATTTCACTTTTTTTGTCACACTTCTCGCAATCTTTTCTCAACCGGAACGCAACTTTCCATATCGTCTCAACATAAACATCAAGCCTGTAGACCTATAAACATTGGTCTTATCTTTAGTTATTTTCATCCGAAGAGTACGGTATTGAGATGTAAGTGTATTAAGTTGAAGTAACCCGAAGGGTAAACGTTGATGTAATGTGCAGTGTAAAAGTATTAACAATACATAAATTGTACAAGTGTTATGTAATATCGCATAAGAGAATACTAAAATGAAGGGATTTGACTGAAGTGTTTATGCGTATGTGCTTATACGCAATGATGTTTATCAGATTGAATTCCTAGAGTTGAGATTAAATTTTAATTTTATAAACAATTTTGCATTTGTTCTACATTAAAATTCAACTTTGATCTTCTCTGAAACTAACTGCGAGAGGCTGGCTGGCTCTTAACAATGGTGAAATCACAGTATGTTGTGTAATGCCGTAAAGCACTAGATAATTCGTTTATAATATCATCGTAAACACTCCGAATGATCATTTGATCACACCACACTACTGTAGTTTTGATGCTTCAACCAAATATCAACTTCACTCATCGAAAGATTCTCAGAGTAGCGATCGAAACACTCGGTTCCTCGAATATTTTATAGTCTATCCGGTTATGGACTATAACAGTACATAAAGATACAAAACGTTATNACACACACACACTCATCACACTGTCAATGCCTTTCGGGGTTATCGTTCAGTTTGTCAAGGTATTTCATTGATTCGCTGTTATTTGATATTCATCAAATGAACTTTTGACTACTTGAAAGTATTTTCTATTGATTAGTTTCTCATTTTACAAGGATTTACGTGATTTCATTCATTGTTGCATTCAACAATGTACAGCCTTAGAATATTTATAGCACCAAGCCTAGTGAATTGAAATGTTTCATTATTGTATCAGAAATGTCGTAAATTGCGGTACTGCTGTTGTTCATTCAAAATTCCTAGCATACGTGTATCAGTGCTGTTTGATCTTGTACTAAAACCATGTTTTATTGTTTATCGCATATGTTGTATGTACAATATCCAACAAGTATGATCTTATTCGAATTAAGCGTTCTCTATCAACACTCTTCTGTTGTCGTATTCTTTCTTGTTCCATCTCATATGCATTTATGTATAATACATTATCTATACGATAAACATTCATCGTTCTGTTGCATCTTCATATGTACATCTGATTGTTTGCATGTGAGAGACGATGGTTTACTGTAGATGTGGTGGTAGCATTAGCAGTAGCAGTAGCGTTATAATCGCGATCATATTTTTGATTGAGGTGACGTGACACATTGTGCTAGGTAACCAACGATTGCCACGCTTATTTTCTTTGTGGCTGAGTCGTTTTTAGGCTGAATGACTTTAGATTTGCGTTCTGCGATCGCAGGTGAATACGCAATATTTCATTGGTTCAGCTCGATTATTCACTCCACTTCGAAAATTATCGTCTCTCTTCAGTGAACGAACGCATCGGATGGCTGGTGTTTTGTGCTTGAGAAGAGAGTCACTATATGAATGAACATTCGTCGGCTGTTGGAGAAGAAATTTTGAAAATTGATAACCAATAAAATGATTTATTTACTCATCTCCGTCTCTGCACTCTAAAGCTTAACTTTCAAGCAGCTTAAAGCAGTTTTACAACTTGTCCTTGTCAAGAGCTATTTTATAAACACCGCAATAATCCACTGTTTAAAGATAAGACGCTATTGCCATCAATTATCGATCTTAAGAATTGATCGCGTTTTTATCATTATTATTTTCACTCCTCTGATTGTTACTGCTAATACTATTACAATGTCATAATGATTTTCATACACTTTGTGATGTCTTCGAATTGAAATTGATCGAATTTCGTTTATTCTATAATTTAGTTTAATTAAATCACTCGGAATGAATGAACATTTTGCATTTGTACACATTTTGTGTGGTGAAACATCGTATATATAATATGGTATGCAAAGGAAATAAATACATTCAAATAGTTGTTACGAAACGAATTCAAATTAATCAAAACAAAATACAACCATAAAGCAATATACAGTTCATTTAGATCGGATGTTTACGTGACGTAATATACACTTAATCAATTTACAACAAACACAATAAAGCTGAGCATTATGAAGATTCTAGTTGATTAATGCTATTGTTTTGTAAAATTTCTTTTAGTTGAATGCTTCGTTATTGCTATTGAGTTTTGATAGGTTCAGATATCTCATTGTTGTTTCGTGGCAACTTTCAATTTGTTGCGGTTTCTTCCAAAAAATATCCGCCTAATGATTCGCTTTTAATGCACAAAAACCTATCATGAATCATGTCTAAGTTTAATCACAGAGAATGTTGGGATACAGCTAAAATATATTTAGAAATCTAATGGAATTTCTCAGGTTGATGTTGTTGTTGCTTGCAGTTGGTTCGCTACTTCCAATAAATAAAATGCTGATTCAAACAGATTCATCAAATCAACAGTTTCATGACAGACGATTACTGAGTAATCTTTTGGGTCGGAGAATGGGGAAGAGGAACGTTAATGATTAATTAATCGATAAAATAATTGATCGACTGAAGAAGATCCAAAAAAGTGAATGTGATATTGAAGTTGGGTATTTGATTTGATGTAGTTGAATTTTTTTGCTGCAAATGAAATTAACAGATGTTTGATGCTAATGAAGAATGATGATGAAATGAGAGTAATAAGAGGGAACAGAGAAGAGTCATAAATTACTGAAAAGAAAACTGAGATAAGAGGTGATAAAACAATATACAAATAAAACAACAAATCAACTTGATTTCAAACAATCAAAAACTAACAACAAGAAGCGAGCACACGTAAATTCAATAATTATCTCATTTGGAAAACAAAAAGAAGAACAATAAAAACAAAATGTGAAATCACGGTTTGGCGAGGAGATCAGAGACATCAAAACCACTCTTCTTGATTGAACTCACAACGGTGGTTGTTTGAGGTGCTGTACTGGATAATGAATTACTACGACTGCTTGTATGTTTGGTGAAGCGAGGAGGCAACGTGCCTGGATTTGTGGCTGTTGTTGTTGATAAGGATGTGGCGATTGGCATTGTTGATGACGACGATATGGCGATTGGCGACGATAACGATGGGACTGTTGTTGGAGCGGTCATTACGGGTCTCGCGAAGAAATTCGAGAATTGCTGGGCGGCGTGCTGCATCATTATGTCACGATTGAACGCCGGTACCGCTGGTGGATAGAAGAAATCTGTGGAGGTGGGAAACCCGTAAGTGTTGAAAAATGGTTGAAATGCATTCGGTGGAGTAGCACCGTAAAGAAAACTATTTTGTTTGTTCGTTAATGCAATTATGGACTGTTGCTGGTTGAGACTTTGTTGGTGTTGAGGAGGAGGATTATGGGAGTGATTCATGAAGGGTTGATTGACATGACGTGGTTGCTGTTGTGGTTCGTCATTGCCACTTTTCACTCGTTTTTGACTAGGTTCTTCTGAATCATCAGATACATCTGAGTCCGCTGAACTACTAGCACGAATCGGTGACTCTGAGGTAATCGTTTCATCACAGCTTTTTATCACACCATTACCACCACATTCGATCTTGCTTAACAATCGCTTCTTTTCGCGTTTACCAGCACCCGCATCTCGGAATCCTTTCGCAAATGGATTGTTATCGATTTTCAATTGAGTTACCTAAAATTTGGTTGATTGTTCGAGTGTCAGAGCATTGCGATGTGTTTGAATAATGAAGTAATTGAATGATGAAATTTGATAACGAATAAATTTCTTCAATAAAATATAACAGATGGTTGACGTAAATGTGTTGTTATAAGCCAAACTCTTCGCGTCATCCTCATCTCATACATACACACATACATACATACAACATTCATTCATAAACAGAAACGACAGCTGCTTCAATACAAATGTGCAGTTAAGGATTGAGTAGCAGCAGTGGCACTATTCAAAGGGCATTTCTAAAATGTCATTCATTACAGTAAAAATTTTGTGCTACTAACTTTAAAACCTCGTTCAATTCCTACGCATATCATATTCCATTCCTAAAGATCATTCTTGAACCTAAACCCCCTTCATAACACCACAATCGCTTCATTCACAACAACGACTGATATGTTAATGATCATTGATAATATTTGCATTCTAAAAAGTTTGATTCTAATTGTGAACAAATAAAAACTACTCAGAACACTATGCATTAACAGTATATTTGATATCAGGTTTTATGGATTACAATTACTTTCTTTATACAAATATCACTTTGAGTAAGCGATTCTCATTAGATGGATTGATAAATTATTCAGTGTGAATGTATGGATATGCGACAGAGATCATCAATGGCTTTCTGAATTATGACCGTAAAAGAGGGCTGTATTGTGCTAGAAATGCCTCGCGGGATATTGCGTGGCAGCATTTGTTTGATATGATGACAGTCAGGGATGATTGAATACGAGTGATCACATCAAATCCGTAACATATGATCAACATTCTCAATCGCTTTCATTCCCTGTGACAATTCAAGAATATTATCGAGTTCATCTCATGGCGCACACACAAATACAAAATATTTTTTGCATGCACACATCATTGTTCATACGCATAATTTTCTTTGTCATTCATTCTTTAACACCATTTACAGACTGCACTTCGTTTGTGATTTATATCCATTGAAAGTTTATGGTACCCATCACAGCTCAATTATGTGTGAAATTTTGAGCGTGTTGATTTCACTTTTAACAATCGAACCTATCATTCATCTATTCGCTGAACCAGCTCAGCGTTCGGTCCGTAAATAATGCCTTTAAAAAAAGAGAGAGAAAGAGAGAGGCATAACTGTGTAATGCACTACTCGGCAATATTCGTCTACTGTTTATCCACTTTATATTCACATCCATTTCCTCGCACAAATACGTTTATCCTCTGTCAATACCTTTGCATCATACGTATAGCTATTTCATTTACCGTATCGGTATGAATATTCATTTTTGAAAGCACTATCGCTCATTCCAATCAAATTATTCAACTTCATCAATATGAAGTTCTGAAATTCTTGTAGGATCGATAAAACTCGAATGAATGCAATCTTACGCACTAACTGTTTCTTAGCTTACAGAAGGGGTGAATTGAGCAATTTCGTCAATAAGAATGTGCAATCATGTGAAATCAAACTGTACTCATCAGGGTGGAATATTTCTCTTTATAATGATAAAGACAATAAAAGTTTTCCTTAGATGATAAAAAAGATATAATGGTAAGCGTGATGACTGAATAATTTTTTGAAACAGTTTTAGCATTTGAAAAAATTACGGTAATTTAAAGATGTTGCAAGATATCATTGTAGGCAAACATTTGACTGTATCATGGAAGTAGATGAAATGAAATTAATTTGTACACGGTTTTAGTGCGATGCATGCAATGAATTGTTAACAAGCTTGCATTTCGATTGCATCATCACTAATTTGTCAAAACTCACTCGATTAAACGCAGAAGATGATGATGTTTAATTGACAATTATTCGCTTGTTCCCTATGGCAATCACCTATTCAATTCCTTTACTTCACTCTGTCTATAACAAACGCCAATTTTGTTGATCGGTTCCTTGGGGATTCGATCACCAACTGAATGCGAATGCCTCATGCCTCATCCCATCCCACACATCCATTTACATACATAAATATAAAGCATGCACACATATATCTAAACATCAACACTTCACTGCTCATGACCGTAAACTTGCGAAATGCTCACTCACTTCTTAGCATTCAATGTGCTACTTCAAAAGCCATATTCACTCACTAACAAGAACGAACCAGTCACGTATGACGCCTTTCGATAGCGCATATAGTTTTAGCATGTAAACAGTCTCGGAACGATTACACAGACATAGCATTCATGTCACGTACTCGAGCAGTGAGACGACGAGTACCATCGATACGATACGTATTATGCTTTGACTCGATTAGTGGTTGGTAACTAAGCACAATTTTTTGGTGGCATGATTTGCATCGCTAATTGTGACAGCTTTGGAAATGAAGTAAAACAACGATAGTGAGGCGTTTCAGTGGCATCTTCATTAGTTGCTTATTTTGAATACATAGAGGATAGCAATGAAGTGAACATTTCGACGAATGAATAACTCAAAAATAGCAATGACAACGCAACTGACCCAAAAACAAAAGACCGACCACTAAAAGCTCTATTTGGTTTGTTTCATCAACTTCATTCAGCTCTTTTACAATTTGTAATCGTTTATCTCATTTGAAATGATTGAATTTCGTCTCTTAAAGTTCATTCTCATCCCATTCCAACTATGGTAATGCTCTTAATCAGAGTATATCCTGCATCTATTTCGTTAATGCTCTCGCCCAATGATTATCTTCCGTCTCGATAGAAACACTCATTTGTTGAATGTTTACAGATGTATACACAAGGGCATATGTTAAAGGGCGTTGAGTGGATTTATAAGGGTGACCATTTGACCGACACAAACACCAAAATCGTTTGTGTTACCAACCATAATACTTTACTGCTCCACAAGTGACATTCGAGTCGAATTCACTCTACAGTATACACATACAAAAGCAATTCTTCAGCTCTTATCCACTCATCTTGAAAACCATACCACTTATCTACCCAGTCAACCGTCGTTATCCTATTTCTTTCAGTAACTGCTCCCGATATATTTAATTCTTTCAATTGATTCATTCAAACAATCAATTGCACTTTTCATTGACAATCGCCTTCTTTAAAAATTTCCAATAACGCTCAAAATTTTGAATGGTATACAGTGAGACAAACATTTTAAGTCTGATGAGTTGATACTGTGATCACATATAATTGCGACACCTAATAAGTGCACTAATCGTATTTCTTCATTAGGAGATTGACTCTAGGTGTAACTGGCAACGGATGTATTCATCTACTGAACATATACAACAACATTACTTGTTATGGTATGATCTGATAAACGACAAGCACAACATTAATGAAATCATAAACAGCAATATGAAAGGAACCGAGAAGTCATTAAATGGCTCAAACCTTTTCATTTTGATATGCAGTAACAGCGATGAATTCGGTCTCTTTAAAAACAAACGTTCGAAATGTTGAATACGGTAAACTGATCAGTTCAGCACATCGAACAACATGCAGTCGAGGTTGATATTTATGCATGGAATTTAATATAGTCTGCAAATAATACTCTCATTTTAGTTGCATTATATCACAAAAGAATCTAAATTTGCTCAGATTGTCATTTTGTTTACAGATTGATATCTCAGCACATGACATAAACTCTGATCATTATTTGATTGAACATCACATTAGTTATCACTGTATGACGAAATATGATAAAGTTTTTGCACACTTATTGTTCTCATCATCGATCTCTTGATGACACCTGACACATGTCTTTAGACATTTTCATTGTGAACCGTCGAATACTGAATTATACTGAATGATAATATTTTTATATGAGATGATTTTTACATGAGACATTTTGGGTTATGCCCAGTTCAGCGAAGTAGTAAAGATGACATGTGAATGCTGATAAAAGGGATAAATATCTGAATTTTTGCATAATAATAGCAGATGAACATGAGGATCTGTTCAGACTTTCTCCAAAAGGATAAATAAACTATGCCAAGATCTATTTCAAGGTAAAATTTATTAATTGGTACAAAATAATGTGCAACACACCGTGATTTAGTCATTTTCATTCAGATTCAACTACTTTTTTCCATTCATACAATTTTTTGGATTATATGATTTCATGAAGATTATTCTACAGGACACGAATGTGTGGGTGCTGATATGCTCGAAGAGTGACATATCCCATTGAGTACAACAACGAAACTCAACATCCAAATAAGTTACTCAATTAACGCAGTCATAGAGAAGATCTTGCTGCTTCGAATATGGACGACTGTTGAGTGTGTTGATCGATATGCAATCATTTTACAATGTCCTATTTTGCAGACGTATCTAAGAAATTTGAATATGCGCTATGGATGACATGTTCATTCTGAGATAAGATCAGTTTTAGGATGTTATGACTGCAAAGGTGACGACTAATTCGCAACACAGATTCTTATCAAATCACATCACTTTCTCTATGCCCATTCCCTTATTCCTCTCTTCAATCAATTGTTCACCTTAATTTCACATCTATCTCGTCTAAGATCACACACACAATTCAAACGATTCCATTGTTCATGTAATGAATCCATAATCAATAAAATCCTCATCTATTCTTCAAATCGATCACCACACCAAATCGTTGCAGTACGAAGAGACTTGTCGTCAGATTTATGATTCAAAATTTCAACGTAATTGTATTTCAAGAAATGGATCTGTATGCACTGATCTGTTGTTCATATTTATAAATCACTGTACAATAGTTCAGAGTTCCCTGATTGCATCCGAGTTCTCTGTTAATCAATATAATACGTTTTTGCTTTTTAACTAAACCAACTAACATTATTGCAACAATGAAATGAAAGGTTGTTCACAATTCGAAATCAATTTGAAGTTGAGTTTATGAAAGCAACAATTCCCTCTGAATAAACGTTGAGTGATTGCTTCACAAAAAACACAGAGGTCTTTTTTTATGCTCTATATCATCAATATTACTATTAATATAAGAACGCAACCGAAATGCGAATATACCGAAATGTGTAAATGATTTAGCAAATGAAAGGATTTCACGATGATTAACAACAGTAACAGCAGTGGCAACAGAGACGAAAGTGTTGCTGTCGTGTTAAAAAAGAGAGGAGATTTGTGTTGTAGTATTTGTTGAAGTGTAAAATAGAGAATAAATTAGCGAAGTGTTCTGAATAGATTAATCTTTTGAGTTACAAGTAAAAGTGTTATTCGGTGGTTAATAGCTGTGAACAACTACCGCAAATATGTGCTGCTGCTGCTGCTGCTGCTGCTGCTGTAACTCGTTGTGCGCTTCTGCTTCATTGCAGTGTTCATACCTACTCACTGTAATATTTCTGATTCTCGTTGGCCACATCACATGTGCCTGTATGCTTCTATTTCATGTGGTACTACTCGTCGTGCTTATCTAATCTTCTTTGTGCACTCTTCTACAACCAGCATACAATACTGCCTGCCTAGCAGCCAGCATCCACCAATACCGCAGTATTCTTCAAGTGAATAGCAGCCAATTGTACTATGCTCACATCGAACGTCTGTCTCACTTCGTTATTATTCCCTGCTTCATCACTCATTTCTATTACAATTGCTCTATTAGCATCCTCACAAGCAATCATCTATATTATACCAATCACCACACACCTACCAAATACTTGTTGTACTCTTAAAACTTCTTGCTCTCTAATACTTCCTATTTGAATAAAATTAGATGTTGCTGATTAACAATGAGATAGACCGCTGACTGACTGGTTATACTCGAATCTCGTTTTGTGAATTACTCGCGTGCTGCTCAGATGAAGCGAACACCCTGAACGAATAAGCATTCGTGTATAAATTCTCCATTGCTGAATACCACAACAGCGTGTATCAATTGTAATCAATCACTTCAATCATCAAATCAACAATAAATATTTAGTTGTTAATGCTAACTGAGGTTGAAATGATTTGTGTAAAAACATTCATAAAGCACACACATTCATATGAATACGACATCAAAATCATATTGCTGGTTGCATACGGATCACATATATCATCTCATCAGAGTGTATAACTCTTTCAACATTTTTATATTTTAATAGATGTTCGGTTCTATTATATATCACATATTAAGAACACTGAGAAACGAGAAACATTATTGATGATTGATTGATTGATTCAGAAACGTTTCAGACATTAACGCAACTAAGGCAACCGTTGTCCTGTTTATATGTTTTCAATTCTTTAATCTCGAAGATAAATTTCCAATGTATTCCTCATCTTTTCATTTGATGGAATATCTCGCAGTAATTCTGCAATCTTTTTCACGTCTCAAATTATAACTCAAAAAAATGGTGGTAAATTGTCGAATAATTCCATTTCAAGTCTACCAACCCATTGGTTCATTGTTACTTTTCTCATCAATCTTGTTAAATCGATCCTAAAGTATATCACCAGCATTAATGGCGCTACAGCTAAAAATAAATGTATGTGAAATCATGTGATTGATGATAAGCAACGATGAGTGTAAAAGTTGCAAAAGCATCTTAAATGTCTTCTTAAATCATTTCTGATCACAAAGCATTTTTCAGTTCCCATCAGTTTTGTTTTTCAACCGTACAACTACATAATTAAACACCTCCAACTAACAGCACCAGCAGCAGCAGCAGCAACAGTGTGGCACTGTACAAATACGAGTGTGTATATGCGCATAGAAAGTGATAAACAACATCAGTATTATTGAAATAGTCAAACAAGCGAAATGTTTCTAACGTCTTATCTTTACTACTACCGTAGCGATAAGCCGAGGCAAGTGTCAAGAGAGTGGCTTCTGCTCGCCCTCTCAACCATATCTAGTGCCGTTGATAACACCTTATGAAAAGCAGATGCCGCCACTGTGTTCGCTCGTCGTTTAATGACCACCTTATATCATTCTTATTATCGCTTCCAATAATGCTCACTCCTATACATGTTTGCACACTAAAACGATGCATCTACTTCACTCCTTTCTATACCAAACATTTTTTAATACTATTTATAACTTAACAAACAATCACTTTTTTGAAATCGCAAATTGACACTCTAAACAGTAAACCCACTGATTTTCGCTCTTAAATACATGACTGCAAAACTCATATTCACAATAATGTCTACTATATGAAATGAATTTGCTACTCTTTCAACTGAACAAAATTTCAGTTTTGGCGAATTCAATACTCACTAACTTAGCGAAATTAGCGTAGCTATTACTTTTAATGTTTTATTATTCAGAATGATTGAGTCATCACGATCCAAAAAGATAACTACTCACTGAATCATTCGATGGAATGTAAAGACTCTAAATTATCGAATAGGTGGTTTTGAGTGTGCATAAATAATTTTCAGAAAGTTGAAAAAACGTGATATTAATGAGTTAAGATAAATGAAGAGCTGTGAACGAAGTTCAACGATGTAAGTGAACGTGGTTAAAAGGATGTTGAGAATAAAGACGAGTGCGAATAAAAAGTAAGTTGAAAGGTTGAACAGTCAACAGGCAATTTATCGCTAAAACGTTAACAAGTAATTTATCAAAAACTTGTTCATGTTTTATCGTCGACGCTCATCAGAGAGCATTTGAAGCGAAAAAAAANAAAAAAAAGGATCGAACATGTCTCATCATCAACGGTTCAGTGTTTCGGTTTAATACTGTGAAAAGTAAATAAAAACTTCACGATCACTCCATCAGAATTCACACGGTTACACTTTAAACGCAACACACTAAATATCAAATCGACACACACCTATCGACACATACACCACACACTTCACCTCAACTAAATACCACAATTATGTTATGTTCTCGAAAAAAAAAAGATATTAGTATATCACCTAGAAAGATAAATTGCCACTCGAAACCGATAACTCAACGCGCTTCTAAATGAACTGTTTTGTTCAAATTTCTGACTTCGCCATTCATTACTGACTTCAATTCACAGTACTGCTAATCTTATTGATTCGATAAATGTTATCCAGATACATAAAGTATGACTGAATTTTACGTCACTATAGAGGCTATTCTCCCAGAATTATTTTGGGAACTTGAGAGCGCTGTATAAATTGTATGATGGAAAAAGAAATGAGCAATTTTTGTGCAATAAAAACAAACGAAAACGAAATTTGGAAAGGAACCGTATCAAATTATTTCACTCTTTTAGTATCACATTCGTTGTTCACGAAATTTTCATCGCATTTGCCTTGCGTCGTATTTAATGAGAAAAATGGCACTTTACCGAAAAAAAAATCGAATTTAAAACAAAACCGAAAAAATGTTCATTCATAAACGATTGTGACAAATCAAATTGCGTTTGATTTGTCACAATTGTTTTCACACTAATGTCACCTATCAGCATTACAAATTTGTTCAATCTGTCAAATTATCACTATCTTAATTAATTCATCATTTTAATTCATTCCATGAACATCCATCTTCTAAGTCTCAATAAGACAGATCATTTCGTACGATTGTATCAACGTTTCAAGAGATCGATCACCGGTGATACGAGACAAATGATACTGGAGCAATGCGAGAGCCTCATCGATGATTTAGCATGACATGAAATTTGCAATTTTTTGGTTATTTTGAAATGGTTTNATTCCTAAACAAAGCATGTTATCAGATGTCGAATCAAGGACCGAATTTGATGCAAATGCAGCACCGACAGACAAGAATATGCATGAGACAACTTCAACGAACTAGTGGGCATAAAACTTTAAAAACATCAGATTCAGCGAAATACGTAACACTTCAAGGAGAAAAACTCACGAAGCCGTGTTTATCGGAGATATTATTGGTTAATTTCAACTTATGGAAATTAGCGCCTTTAGCCATCCAATGCTCACCAGTAGCCGGACTATCCGGATGAATATACATCCGCTTGGGCATTTCAGGATCAGCCTTACCGGCTACCATCCAGCGTGAATTATGGAATTTATAACGGCATTCATCGGCTGGTACAATATCCATTAATAGAATATACTTGGAACGTTTATCAAGACCAGAAAGTTTCACTTTGAATGCAGGAAATATACGTCTGAAATGTCGATAGAAGAGAATAAAACAATGGATGGGAAAAGATGTGCGGAGATGATAGCACTTCAAGGTGTGCAATGTCCATTTGCAGCAGATGTTTCGTTATCTTTTGGATTATTGATCTATCTGAATGAAACTACTCGCCAGTTGAGAAAAGCCTTTTGATTTATTTTCAAAATTGGTTTTTCGCATATGTGATAGAGAAAACATATTTGGTGGGCAATCATTATCGCTAATATAACGCGCTAACACCTGAGTAAAAATGATTTTCATGAAAAGCGTCAAAGAACTGTCATATTACCTTCCACTTTTAGTGATAACCATTTCGGTACCACAATTACAAAATTGATCCCATAATTGCTTGTCATCTAGTTCAACTTTGGGGTCGTCAATAACACCATCATCCTCTTGTATGTGTGTGATCGGTTGTAACTCGTTCATTTCGGTTGGTAACCGAGGAAAAAAACCTGTTGGACCAGGTAACGATGGAAAGGGTGGTGGCTGAAGATAAGGGTGCAGAAGTGCGAGATCAGGTCTCGCCAAGAACGGATTGAACGCCATCTGAATGGTGATGAGATGATGATATGCAATTGCAGTTATGAATAATGGTACGGTAGTAATAGCACATACGAATAGCACCACCACACCGCAGCGGAATACAGCTTGAATAGGATATATATCCACTATCTATGAATACGTATGGTATACACCTAGGTATGCAGCATTCATATGACTACTGAATGATATAATCGTGTGTGATACGAGGTGATGTGTATAAAAGAGAGAAAAGAAATTAAACGAGAGCCGAGACACGACACCCGAAATACAACTGCCGAAATTGACACCTCACAAGTTGTATTTACTCTTTACTCAGCAGCTACTGACTGACGTTGTTCGATGCTCTTCTATCTGATTGGTGCACATTTGATGGAAAGGCGGAGCGTTTGAAGAATGCAGCAGTGATGATGCAGTCACAATGAAGCAATGAGCCTGCTGCCTGAGAGCAGTCTCCTCTGCCTTCGCATCTCCCTGCACGTTCTCTTTGCACCTCAGTCTTTTCGATACGCCCTATTGTCTCACTTATTATGGTTATGTGCCCATTTACTCCTATTTTGCACATATGTTTCCTTCCGTTCTGTCGCACCTTATACGGTAGCGTCGTGCATTCAATATGCAAGCAACCTCAAGTTTAGTGTCATCATACACTTTTTTGATTAGCAACTATCACCTCTTTTATCAGATCATTGTTGCAGTAGTTGCTTTTGTCGGTTCGACCTTTCATCCAACAACTAAATCATTCTTATCACTTCGTTATCATCTAGCGTTCATTATCTATCAATATCTTCCTTTCAGCACACATGATAAAATTCTTTTGCTGTCATTTTGAAACGCATCATTGCTCATTGCTTGAAAAAAAGCAGAATATGAAAAACCTTTCAGTTATACGCAATTGCAGAGTGGAAAAAAAAGTGTTTTGCGCTCTATAACATGGTTCCGAATAATCGACTTGATTGTTTAAGTTCTTCACGAGTTTGACAGCAAAGTGAAAAATTATTGAGCAATTTAAAGAGTATTAACCACTTCATAAAAATTTGTCATGAAAATTTCATAGTGCGACTATTATAGCAATTATCATCAAAAAAATATCGTTTAAACGAGCGAATACATTAAATATTCAGAATGCGAAATGTGCATATGAAACAAATCAAAAGATAAACGTCGTTAAATAACCTTTCAAATCCCTCTCAATTTTAACACATAAATAAATCCCTTAATTTTCTTCTTATCGCCGCAACCCGTGTGAACGTCACCAAATTGCTCACTGGTTGCTGAGGTGCGTATTAATGAACGACTACTCAATGCGTTTCTCCAATCATCACCAATTTAATGCCTATTATCACAAACATTTATTCACCAATTCCTTTATGATCTGTCTCAACTGTCCACCCATCTCAACCACATCTTTTATATTCGACGAACCATCGTGAATAGGAGCGAGGACATCATTACCTTCGACTCGATTTTGTCATGATTCATTGCAAATCCACAATCAATTACACAGCTTCTTCAGTATCTGAAGACATCGTCATTTTTATGCAAAGTAAACCTGAGAGAAGTATCACCTTAAAGATAGTGCTTATTTGTTTTAGTGCTGTTTGTGTCAATCTTCAAACACGTTCAGTTGTTTTTTTGACACTACTTTACAACAAACGCACATCGTGATGATTGAATATAGTTCGACAGCTCATTAACACGATGACGGTCAAATGAACTGAGAAATTGCAATTGTGGTTATTACAGTCGAATTGAATTGTTCATTAATCACACACTCATCAAAGTGCTTTTCGTCTTGCATTTGAATATCTTTATTCATATTGATTACTGTTAATTGTTGTCGAACGTGCACGGATTGTTGCGGTACATTCTGATGCTCATTCACTTCGATTTCAATAAATTTCACTCATTCTCAGACAAATATGACTTCCTTCAAGCACACAACCAACTTTATAATTCATTTCAGCTCACCTAGTTTCTATTTTTTTCTTTCAAATGTATCACCTAAAAGATGACGTTTCACAGGTTTTCCATGTAAACTCGTCTTACTGTAATATTTGACCAATGTTGCAGGCTGTGTGGAAGAAACGAATAGGAAAGTGCTAACTTCAAGGTGACAACTGCACGTGGTTTCAGTCGCAGTAATTGATCAGCAACACTGACGCGTAAAAATGGAATGTAGACAAGAGTGAATTGATCATCGCAATAAATGCAAATGATGATTTTATGATGAGGTGATGAACGGAAAGCACTGATAATGATGTGAATTCAGTTATAAAGCTTTGAGTTGTGCATCAAATTGTTAAGGTATCAAAAGATGTAATTTGTGATTTGATATGGTGTGATTTATGTGCAATGTAATGCGTATTTGCGATATGTACATAGGTTTGTAGGTATGTATGAATATGAATAAATGCATTCATTCATCTATGTAAATGTCTCGATCCGAGAAACAGCTGTTTAATAAATCTCTTTATTGCTTTCACATCAACGACAACATCAACACTCTGTGTACACTCGTTAACAATTGCGATGATCCGATCGCTTAGTGCTGATCATTCGCGTTATTATTATCATTAGGAACACAAAAATTTTATCATTTCAAATGTCTTATTGTCGAGCAATCACTGTCACTCAGTCGAATATCACATTCGTCTCGAATTAACATCCCAATTAATGCATGCAACGGCGACTCTGATTCATTTTCCAACAGCACCATTTTACCCACTTCGATTTTTTTATGCTCACTCCTACTGCTGCTACCCTTATTCATCGACTTATCAAGTTCACGTAATAACGCATATATTCCTTTGTTCCGCAGTACGTTACGTCCATACGCTGTAGCACACAACTGAAATTGTTCGACTGAAATATACGTCTCGAGTTCATTAACAACATAGAACGTTAATTAAGAAACGAATTTTAAGAATAGATCATTGAATGGGAAAAAACGAAGCATTAGAATAGATGAAGTGAAAAGATGAGAAATGATAGAGAGAAAACAGAATGGTAATTTTGAAGTGGTGTTGGGACGGTTGCGTTCAATCATTTGATTTGATTATTCAATATCAGTGAAAGAAAATAAAGAGTGTTAGAGATAGATAAGTGTTAAAAATGGTGATAGTAAGAAAAATCGTTTAACATTATTCATTTAACAACACCTCACAACATTTGTTCCTTTGGAACCGGTATAAAAGTGTGATCTATTAACGAGTATATATGAATTTAATTAATATGTTTGTATCATTTTTAACTCGATGTTTTGCCCTGCATTTACCTGTTATTCATTCACGTTCATATTGAGTAATAGAACTCAAAGTAAATCAATCTTCATTTGTCTTCTATTATATATCCTTGTCATAAGTTTTGATCCGTTCTAACTGAAGATCTTCAAATATTTTCGTTCCAAAACTTCGACCACAATACTTCTATTCGCATTCTCACAGACAAATTTATTTTATTGTTCCATTCTTTTTGAAATATTACAATTTTTGATAGATTTCAATTAATTTCAACCAGTTCCGATAGTTTTTTGAAAGGTGATTCCTAACTTTGACTATTTCCAGTTGTTCATGAAACGGTACGCGCAGTGTACTAACATAAAATAATGATCCCCAACAGCTGAATAACAAAACGTCATTCAAAATCAAAGTCATTCTCGGAGTTCAATGAAAATGATCGTTTAGCTCTAATTTTCATCGTTAATTTTTCGATGAATCGCGAATTATTTCCATTCGAATGTGAGAGCGCTGAAGATCAGATGAGACTATAATTGCTTATTATGTGAATAAATCAACTGAACAAAACACTTCACCATTACTCTCTGCTGATTTGCTAAAATTCGAAGATACTTGAAGATTTGGAAAAGATGCGTAAAGACGAAATAATGTGAAGCGATCGTAGAAATGCAGCACATTTACCTGATATAGCGCATCAATGATTGAGTTTATGATTATCGGATCCTTTAATCGAGGTTGATCGTAATACTGTAGTTGGAGAGGTAACTTCTCGATTTCATCCTCATCTAGTTCATCATTGCTGTCAGCCAACGGTTTCACGATACAACTCAAGAATTCATCGTCTTTGTCTAATAAGCGTTCATGATTCTCTGAAATGGCGAAAATTTGATAGGTTCGAAGATGGACAGTGAAGTTTGGTCGGAAATTTGGGAAAAAAAAGAATGAGAAATTGATAGCAGATAAAAATTAAGGAATGGAGACGGAAAGTGTGTTTTTTCGAACGGTTGATTCGTTAAAATGACAATGATGAAAGTGTCGAAGAAAAGTGAACAATGAAAATGAAGAATCCGATTGAACTGAGTAAATTATTAACAAATTAAATCAGACTAATTTGATCTCATCATCAAATTCGATTTAAAATCAAATTCAAACAAAACATTTGAGAAGGAAATTAACATGACAATAGATGCATTGCAATCGTGATTAGACAACTGAGAAATAATGAATCACGTTTAGCGACACTTTAGGGAACTTATAGAAGACTACGACACGGAATAATTCAGGACTGCGATGGGAAAATGACGTTGTGATGTTAGCACCAATGAAGTTAACATGAAAAGTGAAAATTTGTTGAGTTTAATATTGAAATGGCAATCTTAGGATGAAACTCGAATGAATGAACACTGAACTCAATTCAGATCCGTTATCTTATCTAATCTATTTATCTCATCTTAACAGTAAACAATAAAATTTCAACAGTGATCCATTATGAACACAACCACTAATTTATCAACATAGTACACCTTAAAATGAATAATAATCAAACATACACTCACACNCACACACACAAAACATCGATCTATTTGCCTTCATATCAAATGTTCCGTAAAACGATTTAATTTGGAGAACGATTTAAAATTTTCACCTTATCAATACGCTCTTACGGATATGACGAATTATAATGAAATTAGCGAGTGAAACTGGTGACAGTAATAATCAGATAAACAAACATTCAAAAGTAACATAGGTTTCGACACAACACAACACTTATTAATCATTAAAGCAGCACACAAAATCTTCATAATAGCTTAAGTTATGACAGTCGAGTGAACACCGCTGTAATGAATGTTATTTGTTTTATATTACACACAATCAATCATACAAACACATTAGGAACACACTTCACGTCATGTGTTGTTAGCTTTTATATTAGGACAAGCAAATGCTCATTCGTTCAACGTGGATGGATGGATGGATGGATGGACGGATCGCTTGATTTCGTTCATCAAACGTTTACTAATCAAACAGCTAACGACATCATCATTATTATATGTTCGATGTTACCACATTTTTATCATTAAGAATATTATTGCTACTGTCAACAGTGGTATTATTAATAATAATACATAAAAGCAGTAGATCCATTCTAAACTCTGAATACTCACTCCCTCAATGAATGCTTCAAATGAAGAACGAGCCAAACAACAACTTCTTTCTTTGAACTCATCCAACCATGCATGCCCCCATCCGCATTTCATCTCATTTCACATCACTCAATCTTTCACCACTTTACTTGACACTTTACACACACCGTACTCATAATATTACTACTGCATTCTAGATCATATCATTGCTGTTTATTCTCGCAATAAACAACCAAAACACTGAACTATTTGTTAAATAATTGCAATCATATGAATGATAGATATATATTGAGCAAATGAATAAATAATGAATTGACCATTGAATAAGCATCACTAACTGATCCCTTTGAAGTAATTCTGCATTTAATATCTCATTTTGCAGATAAAACTTAATTCAAAAATATTGATAAGAAATCACGAAAATGATGCTTTCAAACGAACTGCTGAAAGCTAGTGGCAGATAGCGAACGCAATGAAAAGTTTAATTTAACCGATAGCATTTAAAATATCCAGATTCAATAATATTCAACACTGTTCTCACCCAAATGTTGATACCTTTCAAAAGGTGCGATTAGTTCGAATATATTCAGCAGTAGCACCGGAACAGAGGAACTACTAGCACAGGAACTATTTTTAACTTAAAACAATTCCAATCAACCATTAATAAAGATGAGGACAAAAATGAGATGTGCACAATTTGATGTGATAAATACACAAATATAATAGTACAACATATTAAAGATGGAGCATAAACTCATCGAAAGAACATATGTTTAATTGATGATTGTGATAAAAACAAGAACTGCATTGCTGTAAAAAAAGAATAATACGACCAGAAAAAGACGGAAAGTTTGAATATAGGACGGTGGTAGGGCGGAGCACGAGCAGGCAACTGAAGGTAAAGAATTCGGGGAATAAAGATGAAAGGAAACGTGTGTTTGTACCTAATATTTATCTAAAAGAAGTGATAGTTGAAGTAATAAATAAATAAATAAACAGACAGGTACACGAAAGATGGATGGAAGGATCAAAGAGTTAACAAGTGGTTTGATATTAAATGCAGATGTAATAAATGATGATCACCTCGCACAACAACAAAGACATTTTAGTGGTGTTAAGATAGTTGTGAACTTGTAGGATGCTGCCTGCTTGCTATTGCTAAGTATGTGTATTGTAAGACAGATAAACGATAGATTGGGTCGTTGCTGCTTGCTTGTTGACTGCTGATGATGATGAGGCTTACGTTCACTCCAACAAAGACCCTTCAAAATCGTTTCGGTGGTTGTTTGGATAGATGGATGCTTTAATATAACAAACCGCAATGTTCGAACTCTTAAAATATCATCACTCAAATGCACTTCCACTTAAGAACACAAGTATGTATGCGTCTGCCTGATCTATCAATTCAATCGGATCAAATGTTGATTTGAAGTACTGAAGATGATGATCCGAATGAGGTGAATATTAATGACTAACTCAACTTGTCTTTGAAGAAAGATACAAATGGATATAGCAAAAATATATCAATGCATAGATAGACAAGACTGCCTCCGTTTTAGCATATGTTGGCAATTATTAAACGTTGTTAACCTCATGTCAACTTTTGACAGTTCATTTCAGTTCGAGCCGTTGGATTAGCACTGACCTTTGATACACAACACTTACATGTCAACACTTCATTAAATAATCTTTCATTTCATTTTGGGATGACTCGGACACGTTTTCTTACCTATCTCTTAGCTTTGAGACAAATATTGTGCAGAAGTGATTCCAATTCCCGAATCAAAATGTAATATCCGAAAGTGATCAAATATATGAATGTGCAAACGATCATACTCTTGCAATTTTACGAAGAAAATGACGATAACAGATTCAGTTCGACTCTTATATAATATGCAAAAAGATTGAGACATCAAAACAGTAAGAAGAGTAATCTGTGCATTTGCCTCTCTAAATAAACAACGAATTTTGACAAATCAAATTCGCAGTTTTGCAGAATTACGTGTTTTGATTAGCTGCTCATAAACTCAATTCTGTTAGGTTTCATCATATCAACAAAACAACAAATTTCATCGTACGCCTACTTCGAATGTCAACCATTAGCTTTACTCCGGGAATCAATCTACAATGAATATCGTAGAAACTTCGAAAATGTCATTCAATGAAGAGTCTTTAAAAATATGCTGAATGTTTAAGGTAATGAATCTTAATAATAGCAGTAGATGATGAAGGAATATCTATCATATAAAGCATTGCACTGAATGAAGAATTGAGTAAGCCGAAAAGATTAAAACGATCAAATGAAAGAATGATAAAATAAGCGGTGATTTGAAAGAGAAATATAAATGATATAATTGATAATAAACCTATCAACAAATATTTTGTGTTTATTCATTTACCAAATATTTTCGATATTATTCGGTGTATTTGATGAGTGTTTACTGTTGATAATAGTCAGCATTCCATATAATATATGACTGATTACTGAGCATTATCATAAAAGTGTCATATTTTTGAGGCGATATCAAGTAGTCCTTTGTAACGACACCGCAATACCAACTAATTGTTGCGACTTTCAAAATAATATCATTAAACAATAAGAGATTCGCAACAATTCAAATCTGTTGCAATTTTTTGTCTCAATGCAATCAAGCGCAAAGGCAAATGTCACAAAACAGTAGTTGGTATTAAAAATTACGAAATAATCCAGAAACTGAACACTTCTTATCAGTGGATCATTAAGATACCTCGTAATGATAACAGATCACAGCTATNTCAGTAAATTACCAAAGTACTGATGTGAAAGGTGATACTCGAGAACTGACAAAATATTTTTGCGTATGACTTATAAAAGCGGTTGTGATTGTGTTTTGCAACGGCTAACGTTACTCTTTGCTAAACTAATCATGCTTCCTTGGAAACTCGCATATGAATTGATTCCCCTTACATCTATCAATACGGGCTATCGGGCCAGCTGTAAAGCATGAAAATTCGGGTGAAATGAACATCGGCTCTATCATTTCGCATCTTATTCACTCACATCACAACAGATGCGGAGAGCACTGCTAGAGGACACCGAGATGCAGCAATCCGAATGTGTAAAACCCGAAATTCAATTGCACATAACCTATAAATGGGCTGATCATGGAGACTGCATTCTGCAGCTAATTGCCATAAACGAAAGACGAATCATGACTATTAAGGTGTTGAATTAGGAAAAATAAAAATAGAAATGAACAGAATGAAATGAATCAATTAAACTGAGTATGGAGTGAAGCAATGTAAGAACAGGTACAATTTTTGGATATGAGAAGTAAACTCGAACAAATAGTCTAGAAATTACTGCTTTAAGCATTCATTCATTTGCAATGATTATGTTTCATAACTCGCAATAGTTGCATGCCTTGAGAAAGATAACTCGATAATATGTTCATTATGCATACACAATGATGATTATATGGAAATAATGAAGCAATTGAACGACAAAGAGTATATATTATATTATGTTCTGAGATAAGGTCAAGTACTGATCGTTGGTTTTGCTGATTACAGAAGAACACTTGAATCAATCAAATATAACGAGCGTTCATCATTAAACACCAAAACAATTACGGTTATTTATCGCCATCTTTTCGATGATATCGCTCGATTAGTTTTGCATCTTTTAAAAGTGTGAATTTTTGTGGACCTTTTAGGCATTAAAAAAGCATAGCTCGAAATCATCTTGAAGCCTCACTGGAAAATTAGCTCATCGTAAATCGGTGATTATCTTTTTATCTCGGATAAATACAACCTATTCCCACACCTCCGACATTTTCCGAATGTTTACAAACAATTGCGTTAATTTTATATGGTATTTCACACAAGATGATCACATTCCACTCAACTGCTGCCAAAGCAAGTATGAATATATGAATTTTATGGAAATTCAGGGTATCGTAAACAAAAATGTCCTGCCCCATTTACATCACAACAATGAGCAAACAATACAGAAATTGTTTCTGAACGAACTGAGAAGGCAGTCGAACAGAAGGCAACGACGTAATTTTAATGAATATCCATCGTTAAAAGAAATCACTTATAGAAATGATCAATAGGAAATACGTTCGATGAAAATCAGGCGCCTTTCCGAAACTTTGAACTGTCTCTTCGATCCGACAGATGAAACTGAACCTTTTCTCGACCCAAACAAAATAACTTATGAATGTCAATTTCACAGCAATACCATGAATTCAACATTCAACATTTATGAATTATTAATCGTTTCACTGCAATTCTCATTGAAAAGATCCACTCACTTCCTTACTCTTCTGCTTTCCAAGCTGACATTTATGAGTTATTCACGTTCAGTATCCTATTCATTCTATTCTTAATTACATACATTACCGTAGTGAATCTCATTCAATTTAATAACGAATAATTTCATGATTTCAAAATTGCATCGTTCAAGTTGACTGCTACCAGAATTGCAATTGAGATGAATGGATGAATGAGTTCTTCATGTAGCCGATTTGAGCAGTATTATTACATTTTAAGGATTTAAAACAATTAGACAAGAGAATATGAGAGGTTTAAATACCAAAAAATGAAGCAATAGATAAGAATAAACTCCACAAACCGTCATCAAAACACAGATTCCGTATGATATTAACCGCAATCAGACGTCGTTTTGGTTGTTGATTTTGATTAATCAACGGTAATAGTGATTGAAGATGCTCAGTGCAAATCTCACTTCTTACATTGCGCAATTCAGTAGAATTCACCAGAACATAACCCAAATAATCAACAAAATCTTCGGATGCATTCTCATTCAACAATGCTGAAATAGTTTTCAGTTACTGATTCAACACTTATTGTTGATAAATGGGTCTACAAAACAAATGGATAAATAAACTGAGTCAAGCACTCACCCACAACATCCGTTACGAATGTTTCCCAAATGTGAACAATGCTTGGGAATACCTTAAAATAACTGAATTTGAAATAAATTCTACTAAAAAATATCACAATTCAAAGTGAATGTAACTGAAAGCTCAAAGCAGTGGGATAATGCAGATCCAAAGGAACAGTTTCACTGTATATGGAATAAAGCCAAAACGGATAAACTGATTTTGAGAATAACGAAATGAACGGACACTGTGATAGCTTAAGGTGATTAAAATCTATTTTACCAACAAACATCAAAAAAAAGTAAATTTCTGCAGCAGAATATGATAAGAAAAATTATTGAGATTATTATTTGTTCGGAGAATTTGACACATTAATCGCTCATCACGTTGTACATGTTGTCGTTTCAGGAAAATTAGCACAAAATAAACAGTGTCACATAATCGTTAACTTGAGTACGATAAAAAATATACAGATTGTTAATGATCATAGTAATAACAGACCTTGGACGGGAAATGCAAAGAAAGATTTGATAATAGTTTAGCTGAGAATGCAGCAACATCGTCACGTTTGTGACAACTTTCTGTAGTGATAGTGACCAGTCGACTGTTTTCAATGATAAAATTTGAAGTGACAATATCACTTGATGCAATATTTGTTAAAGCAGACAGAAGAGCTGATCGATCTGACGGTGTCGATTCATACAACGAGCAAACTGCTCGCAATAATGCAAAATCATCTTTCTGCAATCGAACACTATCAACACTACGAATCTTTCATTCACTGTCAGACTCTAAGGCGTTAAATCAACTCGGGTTCTGAAATGACGCATTCTGAAATGCGATCATATTTTTCATACTAGCGATATGCAAACAGCACTCGCTCGATAATCGAAAATGAGAATTGCACGAGAACTGTAGAAGCAGACTGAACGTTACGTTCAAGTTAACCTGAAACAAGTTTCAAATGAGTCTAGAGCCTTTCACTCAGCTTAGGGTTAAGTTCCAGGCTTAAAAAAGAACTGTGATATCACTTTTCTGCAATACTTGAAAATGATGGCTGTAACGAGGCAATCATTTGAGACGATGCATCTTAACGCGAAGAATGCGATTATCGCACACTACTACTAACTGGAGTTGGTAAGCGCCCTCTGACACCTCAATGCTCATAGTAATTCGAAGAGGAATATACGAGAAAAAGTTTGCGGTTTTAATGTTTTATTCAAGCAATGGAATGGTAGAAATAAATGGTTTTGAGAATATAATAACCTTGAAGAGTTCGGCACCTTGCTCAGTGGCTGAAACACCGACAATGTAGGCGATTGCTGAATGCCTTATATCCGTACGAGCATGTGGTTCAAGAAATTGCACCAGTTCGGATAGCGCTGAATTGGATGCCTGATTCTCATCACCCATTTCTGACTGTCAATTTCCTGTAATTCGCGACTATTCACAAGCAAAAATTCTCATGGAAAATAATGTTTGCGCGATGAATATGAAATGTGACAGATATTATAATTCATTTTTAATCGCTATAATAAATACTGAAAAGATAAAAGTTCGACGTTTGCCCTCAACATTTCTAAAGGTAGCCCCCCGAATTAATCATATAAAACATGAAATATATAATCGTACAGAACAGGAAATACTTTTTAACCGTATGGACCAATAGGAAAATAGCGCGAGATTTCGATGAAACCTGTGAAATCGTCCATTTTAGTTGTCTAAACTCCATAATTGAACGAACACTTTCACTCCCCGTACTATAGGCTCATTCACTACTCGAGCCCTTGTCAAACCACTGAAATTCATACCCTTCTCTGATTTTTCTTTGAGCGATCACCCTTCTGAAGAATCATTTCTGCTAGTGTCGTTTACACTCCAAAATATCTTTCAACGCCTCAATCTCCGCTGCTAGAGCATGCTCGAGGGACATTTTATTCAGTGCTATCTATGCAAGCAAAANAATCATAGTGTGAAAACGGTGAATGACTTATAAGCAATATATCCGTGAATAAATTCATTTTGATGAACCGCAAATTGCCTAATGATCAGCTAGAAGTCAAACAGAAGAGTGGCGATATGCGTATAATAACTTGACGATGAATTGCGCAACAATTGTTTTGGTTGTTGATGCAGAAATGGTGTTTTTGTAAGAGATTAATAAGAGCATAACCTCTGTGTGTTATATGCATACCGCTAACCTAATCCCATATTCCCATAAACTACCGCGTTTTGATTAAATATTTACTCAATTTATCGAAATTATGATCCATTCGTAAAACTAGAAGGCATCATATATATGCATACTTTCATCAAACAATTTGTGTGTCTACCAAATACATCACATATCGTATTTATTAATATAAACAACATATGGATTAAGCGTTCATTAACATTTGATCTGTTTGCTTACTGTTAGATTGCTGTACAACATTTTTTTGCAGAACAAAATCAACTACTTTGCGTCATCAACACCAATCTTTAAACTATTGAAAAGTTTTGCGTAGTTTATATAGGGACCGTTCGCAATGGATATATATCAGTTGGTATCGGTTTAGAAATCTTTTGGTTACGATATAAAATATCTTATAGGATGTGATCCGATTGGCTACAGCGTTTCGATGCTCCACATAGCGCAGTGTGACTTTATTACAAATTCAGTTCAGAATAAATACTTCTGCGGTACAGGTTGGACGTTGTTGATGACCTCGTCAAACTGTGCAGTTGAACTGGTGGCTATCTGCGAAAATTAGTCAATTTTCGACATTTCTTCAAATCGCAACTAGAATAAACTGTGCTTCTCCCAAGATAAGCTTCGACCTAAACATAGAGTGAGCCTCAGTCTGAATCTGTGACGAATTCATAATCAGTTCCGAGATGGCTGCTTTAATCTCAACTGAACTGATTTAGCCAGTTAACCTTTTGTTTCTACCAAAACGTGCACATACTGTATTCAGTCTTTTGTAGTTCATCGTAAAAAGAAAACAAATGTGTATGAAGCCGTTAATTAATTTGTTATGCGTGTTACAAATTAAAAGTGAATCATAAAATATTCACTGCGTTTTTTTTTTACTCCAGTACAACAAATAGATGAATATCTGCATCCAATGCCATTCTCTGCGGGAATCTTCACACCGACTGTGCAAAATACTGCTGATAATAAATTGGTTGTTTGGATGTTTGCACATTGCAACCAGTGAAGCTCATACGAGCATATTCTGCCTCTTGTAAGTGCAACAGTAAAGGCAGAATTGAGCCTAACCGTGAGCCTATAAGTAGGCTTGAGTCTAAACTCGAGCGAATGAGACCAAAACAAGCATAAATGTAGTACGACGAGATTAGCAAGTGAATTCGTTGCGTTCGAACACTTGGAGAGAGTTCGTTGATCGCTTTCTGATCTGTCGTTGTCAAGGTGCTCCTCGTTTCAAGCTCGCATAGGTCGTTGATAATAACAGTCAATGGTGGGATATTCAAGAGGGGCATGATTGCGTGAATCGGCGAGATATCGCATTTCTGTGGAAATTCTTTGACGAATGTGCACTGAGCAGATGAATTGTGATCAACGGATATGGCAGGAGAAGAGCAATGGTAATATTCAAGAAATACTTTTCTTCAACAGATTGATTTTTCCGCCGTATGGAATTGATTTTTGAAAGATTAAAACTCAGTTTCGTTTTTGAAAATAAGTGCTCATCGAAGCACTCGATATTCAGTTCAAATGACAATCGCATAACGCAACACAAACTTTTCGATTTTGCTTGAATGGATGCAGAATGGAAATTGGACTGTTAATATTAGAAATTTATCGGCATATCTTACAAAAAAGCAATAATAATTGCTTATCATGATATTTCATCAGTAACAAAACGTTATCAATTGTTCTGCGAGTAAAAACTAGACGAATAGTGACAACTAGTGAATAAAACA